AGCCATACGATGCTAATTATTTGGCAGAAAATCTGATCAAACATATGTTTTTTCATGAATATTTATTTACGAAAAGTACAAAAAAAGTATGTAGAGAAATCAGATTAACATGTTAAGCAACGTTACTTAAATGATCATGCTCCTTGACCGAAGACATTTGTACAAATTATTAACTGAGTGCAGTGACATTACAACAAATAAGAAAATAATCAACATTAACTTATTGATTCGATTAATTGATTGATTTTATAATTTTTGTAGCAATTTCGTATATTGAATTCTCGACATTGAATCTTATTAATGACTTCATTAATTTTTAGCGATCTACCAGATAGATTTGAATATTTATATGAACAATGTGAGCTTTACCCTGATGTTCCATTAGGCATAAAAGCAGTTGTGAAGGTGATTTATGAGCCATCACAGGAAACCAAACGGATGGATTAAGTCTCAATCTTCCATGGAATGAAGAAGATTCAGTTGACGAGGGAGCTGCTGCTTGTGGATTATTCAAAGTGAGATTTTTGAAATTACGAATAGACCAATAGAACGTTCACTAATTCTAATTGAATAATCATGAGATCAGAATGATATACATTGATATTATGGATGAGATCAAGGAAAAGTAATTTGTAAGCGACACATTGATTCTTATTTTCTTTCTTTCTTCCCAAGAATGCTATTTCTCTGCCACGCGATGCAAACTAAAAATCTCAATGTCACAAATTGAGCGCCTCCAGAAAATTCTCGAGTAAATTCGTAACGGGAAACGAGAATGGCGAGGTTGATGTGAATGCATATCAGGTTTCTAGTACTTGTGAGGCGATGATAGCTGCTGACATTATGTTCCTGAAGTATTTTACAAGTACAAAAATGAATATGATGTGAATGTACAAGAGAGTGCAAAGCCTTGTTTCTGTTCAAATATTTGCTATTAAATGTAAGTAAGCTCTTATGCGATATTTTTTTATGGAATTACATATTAATTTCCATTAACCTAACACCTCTTTCACATCACCAAAAGTTTCTTGATCAAAAATTGTTCGGGTATTGAAGTATAAGCTCTCAAAACGTTACAGAATCATCTTGACACAACTAAAGGTGCGCTCATCTAGTGAATGTACTATCAGATTTTCATTTGCTTACCTTATCAAAAGTACTGGAATATTCGATAAGATATCGATCAGAATAAATCTTTTTTGTTATTGTGCATAAAAAAATTATCATCTATCTCAAAAATATTATATAGAAGGATTTTGATACGTTGACAAGAATCGTTGTTACACATTTTGAGGCTGATGCTATCTGTTGCCCTTTCTGAGAATTCCAGATGACAGATATTTTTGGTTATAATGCAAGAGAATGATAAGTTCCCAGATTTTGGTTTTGTGTTTTTCTGCTTATTTGTATTTGAAAAAACAATAACTGATATTCTAATTTGTTTTAAATACAGATAATGCATCAATAAGAAATCAAGATGTAAACTTTAGCGTGATACAGACAATACCCAGTGTTGCTGTCGATAATGTAATAGCAGAAGACAGTGCTTCATCAGATACGAGAGGAGGATGGAGTTGCAGGCATTGCACAGCACCATCCAGGAATATTGTCTGGTATCTTAGGTCGTACTCCATTATGTATGTCTAATACAAGATATATATCATGACTCCGCTCACCGAATGGTCTTTCGCCTGTTACAATTTCGTATACAATCATCCCAAAACTATAAATATCTGCAGCTTCAGTGTATGGCTTTCCGTTTAGCACCTCCGGACTCATATAAGGAAGTACGCCATAAATTTCTTGGTTAGATTTATTTAAATTTGCTGGTCCAGCAAGTCCAAATCAGCAATTCGTGCTTGATTACGAAGCATACTATTCATTATTAATATATTTCCAGGGTGAAAGTCACGATGCAGAAATTTCTCTCTATGAATCTTATTCAACCCTTCGATAATATCAATTAAATATTCTAATTTTTGTAGCCAATTCAATTTTTGGTGGTTGGAATCTTTTGCATAAGTCATCACTATCGAGTATTCATTTGTAGCTGGGTTTTTAGTTATTTTATTACACTGTTAACAGTGCACTTTAGAGCAGTCAGAATCTAATTTTGAAAAAGTTAGATTGAAAAACAAAAAAGCAATATGCTTACACTTAAAAGGAGTTCATTTTACCTCGTTTCTAAACTCGGATGTAATCTGATTTGAATTGTGTAATGATTTCAACGCAACTTCTTTATCTTTTCCATCTCGTATAAATTTATTTTCTTCATGATCCCATTGTTTCCATGGACCGTCCAACCAGGATGCTTTATAAATTGAAGCAAAACCACCTTTTGTAAGATATTCAACATTGGTAAATCTTTCAAAAGAGATCCATTCGAAATGTTATATTTATTAATATTATTGCATTCATTTATTAAACTGTCGATATCTTTGTTTCCGCTAGACCATTCAGCATAAATTCGTTTGCGATATTCAAAACATTGCCGACAGTTATTTTCTTGACAATCGGTACATTTACTACAATCATGAGTATGTATCACTTATCGAGTATTCATTCGTAGCTGGGTTTTTAGTTATTCCATGATATTTTATATAAAAAGTGCACTTTGAGCAGTCAGAATCTAATTTTGAAAAAGTTAATTAGATTAAAAAACAAAAAAGTAATATGCTTACACTTAAAAGGTATTCATTTTACCTCGTTTATAAACTCGGATGTAATTTTCTTTGAATTGTGTAATAATTTCAACACAACGTTGGTTTTTCCCTCTCGTTTAAATTTATTCTCTACATGATCCCATTCAGGGTACTCTCTATCCAATGGTCCGTCCAACCAGGATGCTTTATAAATTGAACCAAAACCACCTTTTGCAAGATATTCAACATTGGTAAATCTTTCAAAAGGGATCCATTCGAATACTTCATAATATTTATTAATATTATTGCATTCATTTATTAGACTGTCGATATCTTTATTTCCACTAGACCATTCAACATAAATTCGTTTGTGATATCGAAAACATCCAATACATCTATAATTTTGTTGACAATTGGTACATTTACTACAATCATGAGTATTGTGAACTGAACACTCATTGCAGTAGGAACCATGTTTACAATAAACACATTCACTACAATCATGAGTATTAGATGACATCTTTGAGTTGAATAGTGATGATGGCAGTGATTTATGTCCAAAACGAAGATTTATATGTGGTGGAGTGGAAGTCGTCGGTCGTCGTTCACATGTGTTTGTCAAACGATTGATGCATGAAAGATGATACGACGTACGCCCACAAGAAGCATGAAATGAAGAAGAGTAAAAATACCCACCCTCTATATATAGAAACTAAAGCTTTTACACCTTAGAATAAATACGTACGTACGTACTGTTCTACATGTAGATAAGATTGTCCAATGTCATAAAAAGCGCAGTAACGCTAATATTGACAGATCATTCACTAAATCATAACTAACGCGCCAACCTCCATTTGTATGTGTTATCGTTATAGAATTTTCATTCGTGTGTATGAATCAATTCTGCGTTAAACTGTATTTGATATACGTATCGATATTAAAAGAGACTTTATTATTCCAATAAATCAGACATGATCGTGATATCGATATTAAATTTAATTGACAATGTAGTAAGTGTTTATATCGAAGTTAATTAAATACTGTAAAACTCAGAATTTCTAGTCTAATGCTAACGTGTTGCTATATTAATTTATCCGAACTCATTTACCCGACATGATGTTTCCCCGAATGGAGATTTCCCTGACAAGATGTATTCCCAAAAAACGTTTTCCCAACATGATGGGATATTGTGATGTAATGTATTAACTGGCTGGTTTTGCATGGAATTAACAGGTTAGGTTAGAATTAGAGTCAAGATTATATGTAAAAGGTCCTCCCCAATATTTTTGCTTAGTATACCAAATGTTATGTCGGGGAAATATTATGTCGATGAAATGTCATGTCGGAGATATGGGTGGTCGGTGAAATAGGTTGTCGAGGATATCGGATATCTCATTATTGGCTAACTAGCTTCTCGAATTAATGTTTCAGTTAACAATTCTCTTAGATATTCTTCCCGAATTTTGGCTCCTTTTAGTGTTACACGATCCAACGAACAAAGAGGAACGCTTTTTCGATGTACATAGTCCTCGAGTCACAAACTGGGTCCTATGCTAATGCATGGAATGCACGGATATATATCCTA